GCATATGCTGCCATCAGAATTTCGGCCTCAAGCGCTGTAAAATACATTGACCGCGCCTTCTTTCCCTATGTCTCCATGGTGACTCGCTCCACTAATCAGGGCTTTATGTATCCTCGTGCGCGCGCTTAACTTGGGGTTAAAGCAACTCCGCGTTGACTGAACTACTTGTTATCAGCCTTTCTGAAACCGAATATTCCGAGTTGGACAGTTCGGGGTTACTCAACCCTGCGTATCGTTTTTCACTCTGAGTTTTCTAAACCGGCTTCCTGAAATAGGGCCCTGGAGAGGGGAAACAAGATTCCTAAATAACTTTGAATCTTGGAAACATTAATGAAGCCTCAATACTTGGCTGTTGTGATCGCTTCAGTTTCAGGTCCCAGAACAATTTTGATCTTCGGAGTCCCCTGTACTCTGGAGGTTTGTTGCATCTTGCATCTCTCACTCTCTGCAGTCTGAGTTTAAAAATGTAAAAGCTGCAGGCTGAGCTGCTGGTGATGGAAAATCATTAGCTACACTGAGAGAGTCTGACTGTCCAGATTTTAGTTTGTTTGATTTTAGCTGCTGAGAGCAGCCCTGCTGCAGACAGCGGACATCAGGAGCTGACTTCAGGGCCAGTTTGAAGTGTTTCCGTCACACAGCTTCACCGGGGTTGGCTGGCTCGCCTTTTTTCAAAGAACTCAAGCCTAAAATTAATTTAAAGAGTTTACTAATTACACTGTTTACTACTTACAGTCGCTATCTTGCACAACTCACTGAGCTCAGCATACTGTTCACTGCTGAGGGGATGCCCTCTAGCGGCTTTTTAGTGAAACATGACTTCAGCGTAACATCTGTGTCAGTGTAAGGCTTTCTAAATATCTTGGTATGGTGTGATACCAGTATGGTGTCCAAGCGCACCATAAAGTACCTGCAGAAACCACCAAAATTAAACGCATAATGGCTGAAAAGTGACCCAAAAATTCTCTGCAAACAGGTAAAAAACTGGTACAGACGTGCAGATCAGCCACCAACACCGTGTCTTGCTTCTGTATTGGAGGGTTAAAGTAGGCGTCGGCTCCTTTAATGATCTCATTGATCAGCTTCAGACTGTCCAACCTTCAGCACTTGCTGCTCACGCTCTGTTGTCTCTTCTGTTTTGTTCCGGACGACATCTGATCCAAGCAGCAGAAGGCGTTGGCTAGCTACACGCCTCGCTTCGACGACCACGACGACGACGGCGAGTACTGCGACGGAGACGGCGATGACTTCGACGACCTTAGGGGAATCAACATGGCTGCCTTGGAGGGAGCATGGTGTCCTCGACACATCTGACCTCTGACCTCCCAACATCATAACATGCTGATGTCAGTTAATTGGGTCGATGAACATTAAAAGCTTCCGTATGGCCTTTGACTCGCAGCAGGGGATTATGGGACTGGTTGTACCAGTGAACCCACCAAGCAGAGCCATACGGGGACCGAGTCGCACCAACTTCCAGCTGCCAGTGAAACAAAATCAAAATGTGAAAGTGCAGTTTTATAGAAATGGTCTTTTTCTGTTGGGTGTTTAAGCTTTTGTCAGGACACTGTTTGATAAGTGAGGATGAGACGGGCTGGACGCCACTGGCGTTGGCCTTTTAAAGGAGCACCGTGGTGATCTATGGCTCCCAAACAAACACAGCAGGGAACAAACTGACGCCGGTGGCTTCAGGTTCCAGTTTAGAATGAGGAAAATACCGATTTGTGTCGACTACAAGACTTAAATCTGGAGGTTTTTTGTGAAATGGAAAAAATGTGGGTCTGTTACTTTTGTCCATAAGATTTTAGTTCTCAGAGGGATAATGCTTCTCCTTCTTTAAATGAGAAAAGCAGTGGTTTGTTTTTTTTTGGGGGGGGGGGCAGGAACTTAAGCCTAACTACTGATAGATTTTGTTTTTTTTATGGCTTCCTAGCCAAAATTTAATGAAAGAGAGATTCTTTTCCAAAAAATATGGAGACTTCACAGTATCTGCAGGTGAAAAGATGTTATGCTGCCGTCTTAAAGTGTAATCTGAGAGACGCTGGAAGAAAATTTCAGTATGTGTGTGGTCATTTAATCCTAGCATGCAGTCATTTGGTGTAGAAAACACCAACCAGCCCAATGTGGCCTCATCGAAAGGATTTTTTTCATCCAACAAATCCATTCAACACCTACAAAGGTAAACAAGGAAAATCTGAAAACCTGAAATCAAATATTCCGAATTTTTCCTGTGTTAGTAAACAGCAGGTATATCGTTGGATTAGCGATGAGCAACCACTCAAATGTCTCACATGTCTGAAGCCTAAACTTTTAGGAATTATTTAAGGCTTTCATATGAGACACTTTTTTAATTTGAGAGAGGCGATTCAACATTAGCCCTCCCCCTAGTGGATAAACTGAGCAGTGCAGCTGTTATGTGTGTTATTAAAAAGGAAAGATCTCCACAGCCAAAGGTTTTATTGCATATTTTTATGGTTTCTGCTCCTTAAATCTGGTGCTTATCCTTTGTCATGTGCCAGCAAATCACACCTTCAGCCAGTATTAAAACCCGAGAGAGACACAATAAAGAAAGTAAATTAATACAATAATAAATACTTGCAGCTATAGATTGATATGTTACCTTTAAGATGAGTTGTAGTCATACGGCATAAGTTGGAGCAGTGAAAAAGAAAATCTGGGTTTATTGTGCTTTTTCCTCAAAAAAAAAAAATTATTTCAAAATAATGTGTACACGCAAGGGCAGGCAGAGTGTGATAAGAGAAGAGGACTTGGGTTTCTTTTATCTGGGGGTTAAAGTGTTGTATGCTTCACGCTGCTTTCTTAGACTTGAGTTGGTATCTTAAAGCAGGTCTCCTTCCTTTCTGTCCGGGACAGTCAGCGGGTTTGTTTTTGTATGTTTGGATTAAATAAATCTCTTATATTCACTGCTACTGAGTCGCTTTACTTTTACACGCTCGCTTGAAGGTGATTTTCTCACACACTGTAAAAAGATTAACTCCAGAGCTTTAGTGAGACTTCACCAGCCTTTTAAAGATTGAGTTTATTTCAGATACCTGCCCTTTTCACAGCTTTTATAAAACAAATTGTTTCTGCTCCCTTAAAGTTGATTTTATTCTGATTGGCCAGTTCCTGGAAGCTCTTACACTTTTCCAGAGGAGCTTCACATGTACCACAGGCTGTCTTAGCCGCCAGTTTTTCCAATTGGCTGCACCTTACAAACAGGTTTGATCAGCAGGTAGGCGGGGTTTCTGTGTGCCTCATGTGATTTGCTCTCTGTGATGCCATCCAGATCCAAAAGTAGAAAAAAAAGTGGTTTTGTACATACACTGACCTCTGTCAGGTAGCTCCTCTCTTCTCCAGACATTTTAGGATGGATGATAAAATCATTCTTGTACTATAGTGGTAAATGCTGCTGACTAATGTTGCATTTCCTTTGGCTACTTCACAATAAACGTCCACTTCTTTTGTCAGCTTAATACTATTAATGTAAAACTGAAGCAGCAGTAAGTGCTCAGTAAGTTAATGCAGTCACTACAGACAACAGCATGACTTTGAACCTTGTCTACGTTAACGGTAAGCTTATTTCCCGTTTACACATCCCCATGGAAACCAAGAAAACACAAAGCAGCAGGCCACGAGCGGTTTCTAGACCTAAACAAATAGTTTTTAATGGTGATCCATACATGAGTATTAAAAAGAATCAATTGCAGTGTCAAGACCAGTGACGCGTAAGACTCTAATTTGGGTTTCTGATGTGAATGTGTCACATCATTACTAAACCTTTCAATTCTGACCTTTTAAAAGCTGAAAATATTGGTTTTGAGTTCAGTTGGGTCCAAAAGTTTTGGCAGTGATGAGTTTAAACACGTTTGCCGTCTCCCCAGTGTAGTTTGGCAGCTAAATGGACACAAGTCAGATGAGAAATCGTGTTCAGAGACACAAACTGCTGTGAGATCACAGTGACCTCAACCATGCATTTAAATTAAAATCTTTAAGACCGCTGCATTAAACTGTGAATGAAACCGTGAATAATAAAAAGTTTAAACCAGCGGTTACATTCAGCTGAGCGTAATTAAACAAACTCAGTCTGTTAAAGAGTTGGATCCAGATGCTGATGATGTGAGCAGTCTCCACAAACGCCATCAAATTCATTTTCAAGCGGTGATTTGAAGCTCTTTTTACAGTCGAGCTTCAAACACCCGAATCTCCAAATTTAAGACACGAAGCTTCATTAAAGCAGACGAATCGTAAAAAAAAAAGAAGTTTATTCGGACTCGGTGAAACAGATATTTGTTCTCTGCAGGTTAAAAATGTTCAGCGGAGTATCGCGTGCTTCTGTAGCTCCTCCTCCTTTTCAGTCCTCGTCATCTTCGTCCTGATCGTCGTCTTCCTCCGCCGCCACCATCCCCAGACTTCTGCGTTTCTTCTCCCCTCTTGTCTCCTTCCTGTCCTCTCCCTCCTCCTCCTCCTCGTTGTCCTCCTCCTCCACTGCCCCTCCATCACCGCCATCCCCCTCCTCCTCGCGGGCGTTGCAGCGGCTGCAGTGTCTCCCGAAGCCTCCCAGGAAGTGTGACCTGAAGCAGCAGAAGGGGCAGGCGTAGCGGCCGGGCCGGTGGGCGGAGCTGATGTGCCGCTGCAGCCGGCTCGGCAAGAAGAAGCTGCGCTTGCAGTCCTTGCAGCTGTATGGCCGCTCGACGTCGTGGCAACGCACCACGTGACTGATGGCGAAACCTGCGGCGACACAGATGACAATAAAAACATAAATCTATAGTTTTTGATGTTGGATTATTTTTAGTTATCTGTTTGCTTGTTTGGTTTGAAAAACAATTAGATAAAGATTTTTATTTTTTTAGTTTTGCTTGCTTAAAAAAAAAAAAAAAAAAAAAAAAAAAAAAACAACCAAAAAGATACAATTACCAAATATAAGCTGATTAAAATTCTTTTGTTGTTGCTGTTGTTATAAAATATAATAATTCGCATAAAATAAGTCAAAAAAGTCATATCTAATCTTTTTAAAAGTCCAAAAGAATACTACAGAAGTCAGCTTAAAGAGTAATTAAAATGTAAAGATTGTGTTTACATTTTCTGGCGCTTTATGTCTGCTTTCCTTCATTTCTGGGATTTTAACTCACATTTACAAATTTAAAGCAACAGCCCGATGTGGTATCTGTGCCATGCATACAAGCTTTAAGACGTAAATGTCACATTAAAAGGTCATTTTTGTAGTTACGGTAGTCTCTTCTAAATATATTTTAAAATGTTACCACCAGGGGGCAGTGTATCACCACAAAGTTTTATTGTCCCAGTTTGGTGCAGTCCTCCAGGTAACAGTCTGTTAAACGGCTACAAAACACAGAACGCTAAGTAGTACAGAAGTGTTACATTACACATACATGTAATAACTGCTTTCTGCCCCCTGCTGGTCATTACAAAGAATAGCAGGTGCAGGGATTCGTACCTGGGACCTTGAGTTCATGTTTTTTTATCTGCATCAGTTTGATTTGAGCTGCGTGCGTGGGCGGGTACCTTTGAGTTTGGTCTTCCAGCCGCACATCAGGCACACAAAGCGGTTGGAGATGAAGCGCACCACTTTGGCCGTGGCCTCCATCTCCTCCTTCAGCAGCTCACCGCTCAGCCCGGCCACCGCTGCCTCCTCCTCTTCCACCCCCCCGCCACTCTGCATCTGGTTGGCTGTGGCAAGGTCACGTCTGATGGCCTGGTTGGCGTACGCTTTGGGAATGTTGTGCTTGCGCACCACGTGGCTGACACCCACAGCTTTCAGCTTGTTCTTCCAACCACAGATTAGGCAGCGGTACCTGGCGCCATCAAACAGTAGCACGCTTTTGTCATCATACTCGCATTTAACCGACTCCACCCCCTCTCCTTCCTCCTCTTCTTCACCCTCACTGCTCCTCTTTCTTTTCAGGACGTCCCTGCATCCTTCCTCCTCTTCCTCAGTCTTGATGCTCTTTATTTTAGATTCATCTTTCCCTCCTTCTCCTTCCTCCTCATTGCTCTTCTTTATTTTGGCGTCACCTTTCCCTTCTTCTTCTTCCTCTTCCTCAGTCTTAATAGTTTGCTTTCTTTTGGTGGCATCTTTCATTTCTTCGTCCTCCTCGTCACCCTTCTCGCTCCCGTTGTCGCCTCCCTTGTCCCTTTCATCCATGCAGTGTTTGGTGATGATGTGCTTGTAGAGCTTGGTGAAGTCTCTGCTGGTGTAGAAGCAGTAGGAGCAGTGGAAGAGCCGGGCGCCGCTCTGGTACATCAGGATGTTCCCGAGGCGTCCCATCACCACACCGTCAAGGCAGGAGGGGTGGGATGCCGCAATGTGGGAGAGCTGATGGGCGTGGCTCTTGGAGAAATGGCCACAGTGGGGGCACTGGAGGTGAGCCGCGACACCCCCGCCTACTTCACCACGAGTCTGTATGATAACCGACATCCCTGCAAAGATAGTACAGAGCAGGTCAGGACCAGGTGAGCTCAGAAAACTGCCACTAAGATCAAGATAAAAAATTCTTAAAGCTAAATGTAGAGTGCGTTCTGGTGGACAAACTATGCAACACCAACAGTTATAACATGGTTGAACGGTGTTTCTCTTGTCTCTTCTATATTTTTGTTTTCATTTCTTTATTGCTTGTTATAAATAGATTGGGAAATAGCAAAATATCTGTCGGGCTCGATTTATCCAATTTCGAAATATTTGCTCAAAAAGTATATTTTATGTCTGCTTCAACCAGGAATACAAAACTTCAAAAACAGCCAATGTTAGACCTTTACCGAAACCAAATTGTGCACGTTACATGTAAAAATCTGTGCTGTGTGCTCTGCTGTCACACAAGCAGCAGAAATGTGTGGGTTTTTTACTATAGTCCGGTTTAAAAATAGATATAAAAAATAAATAAACAGATTCCATTAAAATAATCTAACACTTCAGGAAATCACAACCAGGTACTTTGGACGTCTCTTTACTTCCATCCCTCCACAGCCTGTAAACTTATCTTCATCAAATACATTCAACCTTTAAACGGATTCTTTTAATATTTAATCTTTTTCCCCATTAACAGTGATACAATTTCAACACTTAAGCACATTTAGGAGTGAGATTTGTCTCCAGAGTAAGTCACCTTATCCTGGTTCATCCCGGTTTATCCTGGGACTGGGATAACGGTAACCCTGCTCCTGCACGCTGGGTTCTATCAATGGGATAGAAGAGCGCAGCTAACAGGCTTGCCTGCACTAAAAACTACATATTTTAACCAGGTTTTTCCACCCACCTGACTCCACCGCCGGCTGTGTTAGTTTGTAACAAAGTTCCTGAACCTGAAATAACAATAAAACCACTCAGGAGAAACATTTGAACCGGATTAAATCTCCATCTTTTAGGCTAACCGCCGGCCTGCTCAGCAGATTCTCTGCTACCGCCCTTTTCCGTGTTTACCTCCAGCACAGCCAATCAACTCACTTCAGCCGTCCGCCACTGACCAATCACAAAATTCCCTTAACCAGGCTCTCGTCTAGCATTCAATTGTCGCGAGATCTCTGGGGTGTTTTATAATTGTCGGACATTCCTTCGTTTATAGAGGAAAAAAACATAAAATCTTCCGGCTCTGGTGAGACAAACTAGCCTACACTTTCAAGTGAACTAGATATAAATGAATACAGATAATAGAAGAAACTGATACATAAAGTTTATTGAATATTATTTATAATCAGGCTGAAGCGTGTGCTCCTTAGTCTGTGATTAATAAGGCTGATCCTGTCTC